TACATATTGTTTTTTTTTTTTTTTTTTTTTTTTGCACTTTCCTTGAATTTTTGCACCTAAGCACAATAAAAAGAAAAGTGTATCACTTATTATTTTCAAACTTATGGAATAATTCATAGCACTGAAGTACAGAGTTCCAAAGCCTGGTTGGTATTTTTTTCTTGGAGCTCTGCTTTTTTTCTTTTAAATTTTTTCAACATTTACATGTTGACATTTTCCAGAATTTCCATTAGTGCAGCCCTGTGCTAGTCAAACTTTCAGAATATCCACAGTAGTTAGTATAGGATTAAAAACTGGAAGTGATTATGCTCATAAGCATTATGCAAAATTGCATCATAATTGTCAAAATACATTTTGTGCACTCCCATAGTCAGATTAATTGTATATTTGACATTTTTAAACCATTTCAGTGTCACTATTAGTTTTGTCATTTATAGGTCTGTACATTTGACAGCTTTGCTTACTCATTATGTTCCTTGATATTAGTGAACCAATAAGAAATAGAATAGAAATATTAACGTTCATGTCCAAAGCAGATAGCCATTATAAAGGTTAAGTTAAATGGACATGGGAATTCTATTATCATCTCAGTTGCATTTATTGTATTGCAGTGCCTTAGTAGCAGCCTTTGAGAAAGCCAAGAAGAAATACCAAGGGAAAGTGAAGAAGCTGGAGCAGCAAATCCAGACAATATCAGAGAGATATGAGAATCAAGTAGGTTGAAATGGCCATCTCATTTGCCCACAGGGGGATGAAATCATCCCAGTGACCTTCTTTGATCTCAGTGAAATTGGAAAACATTGGCATAATTGAGAATAGTGCCTGGTATTGCATGATGTACAGAGTATAAAGAAGCACTGACAAGGTGGAGTTTGGTGTTAATTGAGCTTGACAGACAAACATTATTTTATTGGAAATGAGAGAATTTAGGGACGCCATACAAGGGCTGTTTTGTGTATTATTTTCTGGTTTTAGCAGATGAGTTTCATTTAGATGTATGCTATACATGCCAGTAGAAAATATTACCTAGTGATTTTCTCATGCCTTCAGGGATTATTTCAGAATAATTACATTGTCCTGGTAGGAACAGTTCTTTGATTGCAGTTATGGAGAGATATTGATAGTATAAACCTTGCTGGCCCTGTGCTCTATGCCCCCCCCCCCTTTCGAGAAAAAAAAAAGATGATCTAAGAAAGAAAAAGTATTTAGAATTGGATAAAAGATTTTTGACAACTTATTTTTCTAAGTGAAATATTTCAAAAGTAAACCAAATGCATCCTCGCTATAACAATCCTACCCCTCACCCCCTCCTCTCTCCCCCACTCTCTCTCTCTCTCTCTCTCTCTCTCTCTCTCTCTCTCTCGTACACACACACACACACACACACACACACACACACACACACACGTTGAAGGTGCCTTTTTACATAACAGATATATTTAGATCTATAGATAGACAGATATAGATAAAGATATATATTCATGAAGTAACTTGTTTACCATTATTTTTAGGTGCAAATGTTGAAGCAAAAAGTACAGTGTCTAGAGGAAGAAAATGCCAGATCCCACACTAGCGAGACTTCATTATAGCTAGCCACCAGTTCACTAAATGGATTTCAACACAGGACTGATGTTCAGAAATGGAATGGTTTTCAGTCATATATTAGTGCATTGTACCCACAGCATTAAAGAGTTTGTGTCATGTTTTGATAGATGAATTAAATCTTGTGTAAAATTAAAAAGGATTGTGTGAAGTGAAAAAAGAAATGATATAAGCAAATTATGTTAAAAGAATAAGTTGACATATGAATACTCTTCATTTACTCTGTATCCATATTTTTAAGAGATTTTTTCTCCCTTAAAAATAGTCAGTTTTCTTTGAAGGATTCAGACACAATGCCAGAACGTGCAGTTGCATAGACAACGTGGCAAATTTTGCAATTTGTTGCATACGAAGTAATAAAAGATGACTTTGTTATCTGAACGAACATTTAAAAAGTGGTGTATATTTTACTCAGGTTATATCAGCGATTATCTGATGCTTTCCCTGGTGCTGCAACAACTGTTTCAATTTTAGATACACATTTGCCAAATTGTTAACTCATTTTCAGCTTAAATTTATTTTTATCAGATAAGACCCTTTCCCCATCGTTTCCCATTCATGTTGACTCCGTGCTGAAATCACGTTTGGAATGAAATATGGAATACCGACTTTCTTTTATGTAATGTTTTTACATACATATTTTGAAGAAAGCCTTTAAAAAGAAAGTTAAAAAGGACAGATTTCTTTGAAAAGCAACGCTGTCAAATTTTATTGTATATTTTATTCATTTATTTATTCATTCATTATCATTTTATTTTATTTTTGGGGGGCTTCATTTCTGATCATAGTCTATCGATTCTGAACTAGTGTCTGAAATATTTGGCTCTTTGTTTTTAGAAGATACGTCTTCAGAATGGTTGTAGCAGTCATAGCTGTGTTGTGCAGTATATTAAATAAATGTTAGAAATGACTAAGACCATGCAATTGGTGCTTTTTAAAAAATATGCATACTACTATGTAAATCGTGTTAGCCATGTACACGCAGACTTAAGAATTTATGGTTAAGCCTCGACTCGATATTGACGGTTACTAAGATTTGGTAATTATATTATGAACAAGCAAAACGTTGCATTTTTCCATGATAGTTTTAGATAAATTTTGAGTTTAGATCAGTGTTTTTTTTCTTGCTTACTTAGAATAATAGATATTTTCATATTTTCAGTCAATACCTGGGTACTTCATTTTACAATGTGTTATTTATAAAAATAAGAGAGGAATCTAGTCATGATAGTGGCAGTGCCCAAAGAGAGTACGTTGTATATCATGTAGCTGTGTTCAGTTGTAAAGAAAGGCAGGTAGACCTGGTTTTGCTAGACATTTTCGATACAGAAGGGTTGTAATACAATGTCCTTTTGTTTTTGTACATTTTCAATAAGCTGTTTTGTTGATTAAATAGCGTCAACCACCGTCTACACTGTATCTGAAATAAGTTAATAAACAAGTATATATTTATTTGTACAATTGATTTTACATATCCATTTGTACAGTGGTACTGTTTTTGCTTCTTGACCATTTAAAGCCTAGATTACATTTGCCAAGGGCGCCGTACGATGAAATCGTATAAAATTTTCCTTGCGATTTTTTGGGGTCCTAAGTGGCTTCCATATTACCTCGGTTTGCCGTACATACTCTTTGCGGCTTCATTGCTGATTGATACTTGTAATTTTGTGGTCATAATGGGAAAACGAACAACTTCAAACCCATACCAATGAATTAGTTTAAACCTACCGGTAGGATACATTTGCCACGGGCTACGTGAGATTAAATCGCATACAATTTTCCGTACGATCTATTTGACATCGTTAGTGGCTGTGACGAGTACTTTTACATTACGTGCTGGTGCCTTGCCATTCCTCTGACATGACCTCAGTTTCACGCAGGGAAAATCGTGTTTTCGGGTGAAAAGTTATCGTACAGAGCCCTTTTAGTCTCGGTGCAGTTGATGTACGCCTTGATTTCTTTCATCCATGTGGTCAGAATAAGGAAAGAGCATTGTATTAAAGTTGTGCAAGTGAATGAAACTAAGTTTTGAACGTGATTTACTTACGTGATGCTTCTTTAAACCACCAAATGTGAAAAGGAAAGAAACCAGGGACAAGGTACCATGATCACGAACGCCGCAAGTCCACCGAACAATGCCCGTACGGAAATGGTGCCATGCCATGTACGATATTTCGGGCTTGCGATTTTTGAATTTTGTCAAAAGTTTCAGGTCAGCTAACTTGCAGTGGCTATGAATCCTTACGATTTCGTATGCTTTTTACGGCCACTGCCTGCCACCGCACATTAAGGCATGCAGTATACGGGCACCGTACGGGAATGGCATGGCAAATGTAACCTGGTTTTTAAGTATTAAAATAAAGGAAGTAATAAATGTAGTTGCCTTGAGTATTCACAACGTTTACAAGAGATTGTGACGAGAGGGTATTTCCGCAGCGGCAGTCTCGTCACGTTACGCCTGAAAGTATCGAGTCGCTGAGATTCCCTTTAAGTGAAGTTCGTCCATATTTTACGGCTTCACGGCATAGGACGTAACGGTCGGTTAACAAAACTTGTTCACCTAATCCTTTAAAGATGCGATTTTCTGTCAAAATAAATCGTTAGTTTGTAATTGATTAGCATTAAAAAGCTGAAATCTGTCATGTTTCATGCATCTGAACTGATGTAACAGAAGTATCGAAATACGACACCATTAACGGGTGACTAGATGACGAACAAAGTTTAAAATGGTCGAGAATATGCGTTAAAAAGGGATGGAAAATGTAAAAACGGCATAAAATGTACTGAAAACAGCAGAACGCCCAAATAACCCTTTCAGAGTAATCCCTAGCAAAATAATTCACCAACCGTATCCTAACAAACTGAAATAAAGACCGAGAAGAAACCAATCTTAAATTTTGGTTCATTGGACCAGAAGGTAGATTGGCGAACTAATGCCTATAATCCAACAAGGAAAAAAAAGCTAACAAGGGGGTGAAATGAGGAAAACGTACATGTATCAAGCCAGGGATCGGAGCTCATTCTGAACTAATTTAACAGGCTAATCTAGACTTTTGGCCCATTTCCCATCGATTGGTGCTCTGGACTGCAAGACCAATGATATTGAAAACCCGAGATTCCATTATGTCAGCTGGGTGGTAAGGAAGTCCCTAATTCTTATGCACAATTTTATTTCTTATTTAACGATTCATTTCTAAGAATCCCATTATAAGAAAAATAAAAACCCTACAGTCCTAAGAAGAGAGCAGAATTTAATGACTTAGCAACCACGTGCAATATTACTTTCAGCAAGGTAAGCAGGCACCGGAGAGAGAGAGTCATCCCAACACTCACGACTCCTGTCAAACCCAATTAGTTATCAAGACAAAGTGGAGTGTCGTTGGGAGACTATTATTATCTGGAATTTAGCATTGGAATGTACTGGCTTGATCAGCGGAGAATAATAATAATAATAGAGTCGACACTAATTTTGGTAGCATTAAGACTATCGGAGCAGATAGTAATTCTATCCGTTTTTTTTTTAACTACCAAAATCATTTTCATTATTTACGGTCCTTTATCTGTAGCGAAGTTCGATTTTTGGCAAGGCTAATGAAACGTGAACGTTTATATTATTTTGAACGATTGCATATGAAATTGATTCCTTCATACCTTTCTGTGAGCAGACGTGAAACAAACCGAAATGGGAATTTCATCATTTCTTTACAGAATGCAAAGAGTGCGCTCTTCTTTCTTAAAGTTTCACGGCTTCACTTTGGTTAACAATGGCGATATTATTACCTACACACAACATTAAAGTAGAAAACATGATGTGTGATATGTACCTTTGATAGATAGTTGGACTCCTTTTTAACATTTTTTTGAAATGCCCTCACCACTGCAAAGTCCCTAAGCGCAACAGATAACGTTAAAGGTACTGCTTTTTTAGACCTCTCTTTTAGATACACCTTAATCTCGTACATATAAAAAACCTTTTGTCAAACTCTATTGCAAAAATTGCTATGAAACAACCCAACTGAACCACCGTTTTTGTGCTTAGGTCTCAATCGTCTGGCCTTATTATCTCTACATGTGTATAGGCTGTCTAGACCGTGTGCCCCTTTGTGTAACAGCATTTCAGAATATGTTGGAACTGGCCCTATGCTTTTTTTAAAATTTAATTCTATGGCATATATAGTGCTTACTGACGACTGACATATGAAAAGAAGATATTGGCATTATCCTGATTTCACATTGTTCCAGACAAATCCCCAGTGATAAATACTTCCCAGTAATGAAGCAATCCAATAATAACAAAGCTCACCTGCTATCAATGGAAGAAAATTGGACCTCAATCTTTAATCGAACGAATGAGAACAGAGCATCGATTTTAAATCAGTTTCCCATTAGAAGTCATTTTAGCTTGCAGCGATCTTTTTCCAAATTTGATTTATCTTGGAGGATTTGACATAAAGCATTTCATATGATGAATTAAAGGCTGCCTTGCGGCCCTTGAAGACTGCGAAGTTGCCAACAAATTGCATTACATGTTTTGGCTCTGAGTGCGGGCTATTAATTGGGCATACAGATATTTTTATTTCAGCTTAACCACCTGAAGAGTAATGCCGGTCAGACATTAGGCATTAAAAAGAAAGTCTACTCTAATAAGGGGCTGCGATCTGAATAGATTCTGTGGAATTTGAATGCAGTGATACTAGTATTACAAACACAAAGAAATCCCATCTCGGTAAAAAAAATCGACTAATGAATGTGCACGACCTTTGTCCAAGATAGAGTGGTTATTCTAACCTTTTGTTAGCACCAGTTGATTACACACATCCCTTGCAGAAGCAGTAAGGCATTTTGATCAACCGGTCAATATAATCTGTACGTATGATAGAGTAGAAATGTGACGCAGCCACTCGGTGTTTTTTGAAGAATGGAATCATCACGGTACTTTGGACATCTCCAAGAGACTGTGTGATCATTTTGCTTTCCAGCAAAGGGTAGTGTCATTCATTTACTCTAAAATATAATTGTGTATATAAACAGTATAATGTATAATTTTATTTTCTAAAATATGATTGTGACATTTTCTCCTTTTGTAAATCAATGGACAAATGAAGTGATTCTGACAGTCAGTTTTAAATTATAATAAGTATAATTCTAGCAATTTTGTAAAACACAGCCCGTTTTACTCAGTGATAAAATTTTCAAGCAAACTAGCCACAAAACATGGTATTTACAACCAGAATTGTAAGACCAAATGTTCATTTCACCGGTATTCGCTTTAAATCGTAGTATTTCACCCGCAGCCTGTAAATTGAAAGTACAAGGCAGACGTACCGTGGTACGAAGAGCATAACGTTTAATGTGTTAACCAATGAAGTCACCAACGCGGAACGTACCGGGTATCGAGTTGCCCAGACTGATGCTTAAATCAAAGCTTTAAGAGTGATGTAAGCACGAAAGAGTGGGTTAATTTACGTTTTCAAACGCACTTTCGTAGCTTGTTGTTAGAAATGAAATTAATGAGCAATATTACATTGTGGCATTTAGACGGTTGTTATCTTTTCTCTTTAGAAATAGACATTTTGTCACGAAATAGTTTGTTACAGTTCGGAATACGATGGGCCACAAAAATAAGAAAGCATATGAAAAAGACAAAACTGTTCAACATTTTTGAGTCGGAGTGTCATACCATTAATCTCGGATATATGTTTTTATTTCATCCCTATAACCCCCATAATATACTGAATGTTACATATGTGGCGGGTAACAAGCGTGGTTATACATATACATATGCATATGCATGATCCAAAATATTTGGTTTCATGGCTTTTGAGAAGACGGAGGAAGTACTAATACAAGTATTTGTCACATGAGTTCTTAGTTTTACTTCAATAGAAGCTGACTGTAACTGAAATTTGTTTTCTGTTCACTTTGGCAATTAAAAGAATCATATTTTATTTTAAATTTACACGTAAAAGTAACGGTCAAGATTGAACTACAACATCACATTTGAGTGTCATAAATGTGAAGGTTTAAATGTGCATAAACCGATTCCTTCAACAGTAATTAGTTGATGGGGACTTGATTATAAGTTCTGTCTTTTAACGTCCGTAGGGAAAATACCGGTCTATGGTGCAGGGTAAGGCATAATAAGAAATATTTTTCTTGTTAGAAAATAGCTGCGTTATTTGCATATCTGCCTCTTTGGGTATTTTAATGTGCTATGGACGGAACCACATGCAGGAACCACATACAGTGTACATGCATGAGAAAGAATAGATGATGTTCTTTAACAGGGTTCGGAATGATGTGATTTTTCCTTGCGGAAATAAACATTATGAGAATTCATGCCATTGCATCAAAAATGCTTCCGGGCGAATTTGCTATTTCGAGATAAAGATGTTTTTGGGGTAAAAACTGTAATATCGCTTTTAAACAAATCTACCTCACCTAAACAGCTATCAATGTCGCTTTTAACGTCTATTTATTTCATCACAACAATGAGTAGAACAACCTGGTGTCAGCAAATATTCTTGAAATGCATACTTCTGATTTTGTCAGTAAAGAGGCGAAACATTGCCTTTGTTTAATAGAACAGATACTGATACAAGAGAAGCCATAAGCAATCAGTAACACTTTGGATACATGACGAAAAAATAATTCTGGTGTTGGAAGGGATATCTTAGCTTCTCTGTTATACATTAAGATACTACATGTAACTGCATTAGTTTTCGTCCAAGATAGAGGTGCATTAATATATGGCATAGCTGCCAAAAGTAATCATAGCTGCCAAAAGTAATAAAGATATCAAAAACTACACTTTTTATGTCACACGTGAGTGGCTGGAATTCATCTTTTTCCTGAAAACACTGGCTACACTCTTACTTGTTTGGCAGCCATTTTGGATGTGTTTTTAAATTAAAATTTGTCAGACGTCTGAAAGTTATGAATACATTTTCAAAATGTGTTCCTTAAAGCAAAATAGTTGGTTCGCTGTGTCAGTCATGGTTTTATATAAATGATTTTTACGATTATTATTATTATAATAGTTGTTGTTGTTGCACTAATAATGTATGTGTGATCGCTTGTTACGTTAAATGTCTGTGAGCTTGATCAAATGATACGGATCTCTGAGATATATACAGCCACTTACTTAACATCATTGCCACCTTAATCAATTAGACTGACCATGTTGACGGTAATTGCCATATGCATTTCACATGGGCAATAATTTCTCCGAGCCAGACTTAATCCAAACATACAAGAGAAATATTCAGGTTTCATTGTTTTGTATAAAGTAAATATACAATGTCTCTTGCAGGATGCTGGAGATATATTCATAATAGATGTAAATGGAAAATTTTAATTTTGCCAGGAAGTTATTTTATAAGGAAAGGGATCAGGGCTTTTTCCTTGTCATGCCAATGGTTTTCTTTCTGGTGGCCACCCTGTTTGAAGGAGAAACAAAATTGCATCTTCATTCTTAGGTACACACACTGGACAATAAAAGTGTCACCCCTACTGAACCAATACTTGTCTTTGGGGGAGATAAATGACTGTGGAATGATATTATATGCTCCTAGCATCATTTTATTAACATCAAATTTCACAAAAAGACCGACAATACAATTCCATGGTACAGCGGTTTTATACTCATTAGTCACATTAAAAGTAGACCAGACATTATAACTTTGATTACTCTGATTTAGGGGGTGACACTTCTATTGTCCAGTGTATGTACTTTGGGTTAAGGTACATTTCTTTTGATTGTGACTTTATTAAGAGAAAAAGTTACTTCAAATTACTCTAACCGTTAGGTGATATTAATCATGTTCTTTTAAGATTTGAATACTTCCACGGCAAAGATAAACAAAATAACTCTTTCTGCTTTATCAAATGGATCTGAACATGCATGTGGCACAAATATATTTTGGTATTTCAGGAAAGTAAACCAAGCAAACTGTCTTTAGAATTTTGTATGGAGATCCTGTCAAAAGAAAGGGATAAAATTAAAGAAAATAATAGAATCATTGGGAAGAATTTTTTTCTTAAACTTAGATTGTAATGTAAAACGCTATAACCCGTTTGTTATTTCGTATGAATTGTATTCATCATTTTACAAATCTAATACACAGTGTATACAGTGGGTTGAGTGAGAGTGGCCTTTGTCAACAAGATCGCCTAACATCTATATAAAAGACTTCATCAAAAATCAGTTTTTCTGATTGTTCTTCATACATTTGTCAATAAACTACACCAATTTAAGTGAAAGTATCTGCAGCAAATACGGTATTATCCCCCCCTCCAACACACACCGCTTACCCTCTACACTCCATTAGTATTATACGCTTCAAGGTACTTCAACAGGTAAAAATGACGCTGGCGACAATGCCACCTGTGCCTGTTATCGATATTGTTATCCGCATATTCCATTCGTATATACCAGTAAAAAGTAATTAAATAACATCGCCTAAATGTGGAGAATTCTTTGTGTATCATTCAGCAATTCAAAGCAAACTGCCGTACATTTTGGTGTATATCCTTAACATTATAGATCTGCTAACGGCTTCCAGAAATAGATCTAATATGTTGTCATTATAAAGTGAGGCTTATGGGCCAGGGGATCTTAGACTCGTTGTTGTTCTTTCTATACCTAATCAATATACAATTACTGAAATAAATCCAGATAAAATCTCGCGATAAATAAGATCAATCCCCGCCATGTACTGTGGTTAACAAGAATAGGCATGTTCGTGCGATTAAAAAGTGGTCAAACTCATTTAGCTCTTTATGCAAATTAAGCTCCATCCAAATCTATAAAATACAATATTTCTTGTGTATACGTTTTAATGTTCACAATATTTTTGAAAGTAACAGCTTTTACTGTAATATTGTGTGTGCACCATCAGAGATTGCTATACTGTAATTTACAGACGCCACTCTACACATTTAGAAAAGTTCAACTCTTTCTTTTGCAAGGTTTTGGCTCTTCAATACGAAGCGTTGTCTTTCTTTTCTTTCTTTCTTAGTTTTTTTTTTTACAAGAAGAGCAGAGTCAGTTTTTCGTGGGGAATTTTGGCGTATATATTGTATACCAAATTTTTAATACACGTATTTCAAAATCTGGAAACTGCATGGTATAGGCATTGTTCTCTCTCATATACAAGAAACTTTAAAAAGTGCCATGTGTGTGAAATTTAACTTGAGTCATGTGGCCATCTTTCCATTTAAATTAGAATTTCTGGCGAATCTTTTTCTGGAAAGCCAAAATGAAGCCAGGTTGGACTTTCTCTGATTTATCCAGTTTTAAAAAGAAAGCAAATTAAAGATACAATTATCCAGTATAAGACTTTTCCAACTTTGCCCACGAGGAATCATTTTGTTTGCCCTCTTGCTCAATAAGCATTCACATTAATGAAGATACATAATAAGTCTCCTGTCTTAGAATGTGAGGCCGCTCTGATAAAATTAAAATCAAATTCGAAAAAATCGTACAAATTTGTTGCTTCCCAATAGTGATTACTTTCCCCCCGGGATCACGTATAAGTGAAGTTTTGTAGAATCAAATATCTGTTCTGGTCTGTTTAGGACCGTCTTTCCGTCTTGACTACAGACTAAATTTACAATTTTTCCAAATCCAATTACCTTTTTGCGTGTGCCAGGACATGCTTCACTTTATTTGGCGCCACCGTTTGGCGTGAAATTGAGCCATTATGATGTAATCTCTGTATTATTCGTACTATTTTCGCCATATTTTGACAAATGAGTCCACTAAATTGAAAACAGATGTAATAATTTGTCCATTTAACGCGTTTTATTTGAGGTTGAATACATTGTGATCGTTAATAGCACAAGTGTCATCTACAGGTCAGAATAAATGGCTTCTTAATTAAAGGAAAATGCGATAGACTACGACTTGGTTTTTATTTTTCATAAATAATTGCCCATCATCTTAACACGAAAAGGTGATTTAAGTCACAAACTAAGAGAATCTAATCAAAAAACCTTAAGATCGATCTGTGGATGTGTTGAGCTCAGTTTACCCTCCACGATCTTATTTTTCTCCAGCCAAGCATTGGTAAAACTGCCAGAATTTCTTTGACTGTGACAAATCGGATAAAACGATTGCTATGTTCTCTTAAGAAATAGGAAATTAGGTATGAACTGGCAATATTCGGTTATTGATAACATTGTGAGACTGGCCAGGCATGCTGATCAAAGTATCAATATATGTTGTTATTTTTTAACATTAACAGGAGGTTTTTTGCCATTGCACTTTATATTTCTGCCGGTATGCATTTTGTCTGGCTTCCTGTCCGTCCGTCTATATCACCACTGTAAGCAGATAGGCCTATATGTGACAAGCCAGATTGTGTATCATACTTTAGATGGTTAAAGATTACTTGTCAAAGTTTCTTTACACTAATTGAGTGGGAGTCAAAATGTCTTTACATGGATACGTTAAAAAATTCTGTATGCTGATGCTTATCGATTTTTTTTAAATCGACATACCTGTTCCAGGAGGTACATTTTTGTAACTAGTGATATCTATTGCATTTACAAAATGTCATTTAATAGAAAAGACAGAGAACCCATTCGCAAGTAAATGTGACGGTGCGCAAAATCGTAGCTTTTGCATGCTAACGAAACGCCGTAGACGACAGGTTGAGAAGAAGTACCGTTTAATCACGCGTTCCCCAACATGGGGTCTTCTGTTCATTAGATTAAAACTTGGTGTTGCTAAACTAATAAGTAAACTCATAACTTAGCATGCATGTCTAGTAAATCCGTCACAGTATGGCATCACGTCCGATCGTGTTTTGTAATTATCATATCTGTAGCCTTTTGCGGCTTACGTCATGTACAAACCATAGACCTTATATGGAAAAACAGGTTGAAAATGAAGCCTATTTCAGAAAATTGAAAAATATAGGTCAATAAAATCATTCCTGGTCCAGCTTTGATCTGGGATACTACCATGGCATGTTGAGACTGTAAGATTTGTAGGTGTCTGGGTGGAGGACAAGAATTTGTGAATTGTGCGATTCCGGAGAGAAAAAGCGGATGCGGCGGACTTCGTTCTCTGCTGTAAGGTTCATAAATCAGCAAGGAGTAATCTCTTTCTTTAATTAAACGATACTTCTTACTCTCAACCTCAGGATATCCGTGATTTGCTTGACTCAACATTTTTGCTCATTGTTTTTAACTAAAAGAAAAACAAGGGTCCTGGGTTCACCCATATAAACAGCATAGGCCTATCAACTTGGGAAAGAACAGCTGTATGTTCAATATCTTATTTAGTTATTTATTTCGTAACCAGTATAATAGGCCTCTATGAGGCCAGGTGCTGGACCAATAAGTCCCAAATGCCATAAGATGCATCCCATGCGTATTTGCCAGTGATTTTTTAATGTTATATATAGGGCCTATACCTAAAGATAAGATCAGCTATTATATCAATCGAGCGAGAACACAGCAAACGCAAAGACCAAGGTCTATTTCAGTTACACGTGCCTTAATAAAATAAACCTTAATAGTGTTATCTATTCTCAAACACCTGTATAGCAGAATATTCAAATTTAGCATACCTTTCTATATTCGTCAAAGTGTACACACAAAAATTATAGCAAACCGTAAATTGTGCTAATTACCATCGTCAATTACTTGTACATAATATTGTTGACTAATTTCTGAAAATTAACCAAATAAATACCATATTCCGTATCTATATTTGCGATGGAATGGCTGCTTACAATTGGTAGGACTGTACAATGCTTGCATGAATAGATATTGTATTTACGACAATAATGGCAATCGATTTTTAAACTGATAACTTCACATGAACTAAAGAAAATGATAATTTAGCATGTAGGCCTAAGTCTTATTACACATGGCTGTTACCAGTGCTGTTACCAATGGAGCAAAATAGTGTACATGTGACGCTGTGGTTATTCTGCAAGACACACAAAGTCAAATCATTATTCTGAAGTCAACTTGCCACTTTGCCAGGGGTATCAATCGCTATAAATGCAGTAGTAAGGTGATAATCGGGCGTATCCGATAGGAAAGATATTTCTGGCATTAATCCGGTATAAGGTGACATTTAATCATAATAATGATGATGATGTTATAATATAATGCAATTGGTGTCTTGCAGCCCTTATATGTTATGGATGACCTTCAGCAGACAATTCCCTTCTTTGGCAAATTCTAGTGTCTACTTTCAGAAAAAATCCTATTACTTATCTACCTAACTGGATTTGCCTCAAATCCCCAACTCTCCTAGATTAAATTTCTCTATTTGGCCTTTACAAAAGCTGGCTTTTTATTCAACTTTAAGGACTGAAATGCGATCTGATTTACAACTTCGCAGCACAAAAATCAATGTTACAAGTATTGATAGTGAGAGAAATAACATGTATTATGTGGCGTATTCAACACACCAACAGTAGCTGAAGTGTTTTCAAGAAGCCACTTTGATAAATATAGCGGCACGATTAATAGTATAATGTCACCTTTAAACGTTATTCCTTTGCAAGTTACATTGAATATGGTAATTGGATTATCATGAGCACATCAATTGAGTAATTTCACATCTTATACGTATATTATGTACATACACAGATTTATAGTCTGTTCAATGTGCAGTATACTTCATACCATGCTCGGTATATACTGCTTCACATCTTATGCGTGCTCGTTGCATAAGGACTATAGTCCTAATTTGACCTTCCACGTGCATATCTCATTTCAAGTTAAGCGTCCAGGGAATTGACAAAACAGTTCTAACTTTGCCACGCATCACACAGACATGGTCTTATGAGTATGCAACAAAAAACATGCCTTTAAGTTTAGAAGTTTTAAAGTTATCATTCTATATCAATTCTTAAAAGACTAAAAGGGTTGTCAGTCAACCTAGTCTCCAACTCAAAAGAACAAGTCACATATATGTGCAAGTAGTTAAGTCCATTTTTTGTCCTTTTGATAAGAATAGTATTTACAAAACAAAAAGTACCAGTATAAAAAATGAGCCACTTCAATTTTTACACTGCCACCGCAATTCTTTAAAAAACATAATACTGAAATGGTTTTTAATAACACTGTGGGCACACCAATTGTCTCTCATCGATTGATCGTGTTGACGAATATTCCCGCAGGTTGGGTTGCAGTCATAGCGCCTCCTGACATTTGAAGACATACAAATATTGATGCGGCGCCAATGTTATAATCTAGTCTTTTCCATCTCCCCTTTTGGTTGTTTCTGAAAACTAATTGCTCATATATAATGTATATTCGCAAATACAATGTACAATTGTTAAACTTTTTCATGTAATCAAGACTGTTTCATAATCCATATCAGTTTCGTGGTGTTGTCCATGTGCATTTTCTGTGGGATTATGTTGTCCTTAAATCAACATCCACAGAATATCATCGTGAGCGTCCTTTGTATTTGTTCTCCAAAACAAGCTTCTTGCTAATTGTTTGATTAAGGATATTTTTTGACATGATCACGGTTGCCATAAGCTATGTATAAAGCTTTTTAGTCTCATCACTCATATCTGAAAAAAAAGAAAGAAAATATGTGCACATCACTGTATAATCCCAGAACGTATCGAGCAGGTTGAGAACAGCCATATGACATTCCTGCCGCTCACTTACATGCGTTCTTGCGTATATCAGGTATTGGTGGGTTTGGATTGATATTTAATGGTGGCAGTGTTCCTGGCCGGGTGTAAGCCAAAGAGTCAAGGAGCTGGGCACCAGATCCGCGACGCTCCAGAACACGTCCGCCAGGGCCTATTACCAGTTTCCGGCGATTAATAGGGCTTAAACTTAGTGGCCTTTCGCCGGGAGCTGGGCTTCGATTTCTCGTTGACTGTGTCGGGCTCTTACGCTCGGAGGGTAGTGTTGATGGTAGAGAGCCTCGCCGCCTTTCATTAGGTATATATTTGCCTAAATCTAGCACTTCTTCATCAAGAACGTCCTCTTCTAATGGCTCTGATAATGGTGACCGAGATGTGCGTTGTCGGTTGCGCATCGTGGATGATGGTAGCCCAGTCGGCACAGAGCCACGCCGACAGGTGGTACTCTTCAGCGTCTCTCGCAGTACCTTCTGATTACAGCAAGTCTCACCCTCGATGGATATCTCTGGGGTTACCGGGGAATTCAGTTCTTCCAGGGTTTCAAGATCTTCGTCCATTAAATCTGTACTCTCCTCGTTTATTTCTTCAAAGTTAGATGCTGTCTCTGGGGTGGGCCGCGTGACTGACGGCTTTTTATCACTTCCTGCTCGTACCCAAAGGTTTGGCATGCTTATCCGTTTCAACAAAGGTTTCGGCCTTTTTGTTGACCCTCCAACTGCACCCTTTCCATTTTGCTGACTAAATTCCGATTCCAACTTTTGGCCTGGAGTCTGACTACTTTTCTCCGACAGCGATAGGCTTTTCATGGATTCTGATGCCATGAACCTATTGGCAGTGAGGAGCTCGGACATTGGTGACTTGGGCGCTGCTACAATGACCACATCTTGACCTTTCTTCTTTGAAGCCATGACCAGTAAATTAAGAACACTGGTATAGTTGCTCTCTGCTGCATACATGATTGCAGTCTTTCCATCATTGTCTCGCAAAACTGGGTTGGATCCTTCTTGCAGTAAAACTTTAATGACTATGTAATCCAAATGGTTCATGCATGCAAACATTAAAGCTGTCCGTCCCCGTTTATCTTTGATGTTTGGGTCAGCCTTATGTTGCAAAAGGTAACGTAAAAGTCTTACCGTTTGCTTGACATCCAGTTTGGCCATACAGACCAATATAAGAGCAGTTTGACCCTCTTCATTTTGAACATTGACGTCGGCACCCCCTTCTATCAAAAGCCTTGTCATACGAAATTTTCCCATGGAAACTGCTTTCAACAAGGCAATGCATCCTGCATTTGATGAGGCAAGACTGATATCACCGTTCAACATTTTCTCCGGATTTAGAAGCATAGTAGTCTGTAACTTACAGGTTTTCTGTCCTTAAGATACATATCGATGTGCACTGGGCCGTCTGCTTCAGACAGCATACGACGGTGGTATTATAGCTTTTGCTGTGCCTGTGTGATGCTACTGGCCAATGAAGATATTGATTGAATTTTGATTGACGTCGAGAGTGCGCCCCCTGCTGTGGATTTCCGGAATTGGCGGAAACCGGCTTCAGCACGTAGAATAAATACATTGTATTCAGAAATGGCGCTGTGCATGGAATACGTGTTGAAGGATATAAAATAGTGCGTTGTGAGGCCATGCTCTACAGAACGAGGGTAAAAGAAACGTGCGCCATTACGATGTCGGCTATGGTTTATTAATGTTCTAATTATGGAGATGGTAATATCCTTATTGCGAATTAATATTTAAAATTCTTTTCGGATACGATGCTGATGATAATATCACTGATGCAACAAATGTATGATGGTCACATAAAGAGCGTGTATAACACAGCGGAAATGCGTGAAGTCCCTGTCCTTTTTATTAAGTTTCCTTTGATTTGTAATACAGACCTACTGTGGGATGAATGAAATGTCAAAATTTTGAATAGTCTAATTATCAAAGTTTTGCGACTGCAGTCTTGCTCACACTGATTTGACCACTACATGCAGATGGTGAGTAGTTGGCATATCACGTAGGTTATGTAATGATGTTATAAAGAGAAAGGTTTGTGGACTCGTTCCCCTCAAGGATCACATCGGGGCCATTTCTTTTGCTATTCTGCCCATTATATGTATGTTAAATGTTGCCACTGTCTTCGACCTGTGTTTCATTACTTAGTACCTGTCATTTTTAATGCATCATTAATGGCCCATTCTGAATGTTATCTATATAACGCTAAAGTCATTTACCCTTCCGTCCATTTTTTAAACTTATTATACTCCCTGCTTTATTTGCAAAAAGTTTCGTCTGTTCCAGAAGGCAACTGCTGTTGACAGAGAGACACTGCATGCTGATGTGGGTCTATCCATGTCTTTTAAAAGTTCGGATGGTGCCATTCATGTTAATGAATAGAGCACATATCTAGCATGTAAATTTTATTTCAACTTGCACCTCGGGGCTGTGACTGTTGGTGCTAAAGTAACTACAGAAAACTTTTCTTTTCTTGGTGTGTTCACCAAAGCGGTTTAAATGGGTTTTGCGCTCGTGTGCATGCTGTTTCTTAAGCATGGTTTTGTTCTTTATCCTATATTTCGGTCACCAGAGAGGGGAAGGCTGACTCCATAGTTATATCTTTAAAGTGAGCCAAAGAAAAGTTGCAAGAAAGCCAACAGCCGCACCGTGTTCTTGTAGATAATATTGTCCGTGTAAAGGAAAACAGGTGCTTCAACATAAACACCAATGGCCTTATGGGATCGTTAGTTTTCCATGTTGTTCTTTGCGACTCTTCCTTTTCTTACAGCACAAGCAGTGCGGATTATACATGCGGATAATACATAAAATCCTACCTCTTCATGTACACTTGTACTTTCAGCTGATGATCATTGATGATACTTATTCTTCCTGACCTTTTCCTTTTTGTTTTTACTTCCGTTTGTTTGTCTGTCACCAGCCAAGCTAAAAAATTATGGATGGAATTTAGTGACATTTTCAGGATAAGTCAAAAATGGGCTGAACTTAGAAGTGATCAGATTTTGGTGATGATCCATTATTAAATTAATGGTTTAATATAAGTTAATTATTTCTCTTGGCGGAGGTCTGCACTGTCTGAATGCTTTTCTAGTTTATTTTTTTCTAATTTATGCGATATATTCCCTGTTTTTGGCTGTCTTGCGCGTGTTGTGCTGTATGTTGTGGCTTAAAACCGCCTTGCATGTTCCCCTAATCGGAATGACTCACGGAAATCCTTGAGTCTTTATGGGGCCAAGAGGCCATGCGCCTAGATAACACATGATGTCCCTGTTACCAGTTGTCATCATATCTCTCCCCCGAGTTCAAAGAAAATACTTTTAACAAGAATTCGTGATTTGACGCCTGTGAAACACGTCATCTGACAGCGTGGGCCCACATCACGCACAAGCGTTAATTTGACTAGAATTTATTCCATTATCTTATGAATGGCTTTTGCGCTGACGAATCCAAGGTATTTGCTATGCGTGGGTCTAATTTCATTATGGTTTAACCGTGCTCTAACAGAGACGGATCGCCTGTTGATTTGTACATGTAGGAACAGTATTATTATATGACGCAAGAGATATCACTCATAATTCATGCTTAACATACATTTTTTAATTTGTAAAAATTACATATTTTTCTGATTGAACAGTGCATAAATAATGTACTGCTAAAATGAATACATAGGAAAGGGGAAATACATGTAAATGTGTATTTTAAGAACAGAACAGTTTTATTATTCTAAATAAGTGAGAAAAGCATTTGAATTGTGCCGTTATCTATATCTACTTACTTTCATGTGTGAAAAGAACTGATTCGATTTGACTGCAGTTTATATTGGTCTCGTCTGTTCATTTCACCGTGTTACACAATTGTAATAAGTAGGCCTACACAGCGTCACAAACATTGCTCTGACGCACCTCTCCCAGCTTGGTGGGAGTATCAATGGGCAAATGACAGAACGACCTTTAAAATGTTAATGGTTTACTATTTCGTTATGCATCTGAATACGAAATTACTTAAATTACACGCTTCACCGTAGATCCCGTTCTGAATAATCAAAATTCAAAATAAACCAAATGCACAGTGTTTCACTTTGTTGAAAACACCCACTTATTGATATATGTTTGTTGACTTGTTTATTTTACTCTTATTAGCATATATTACAGCAATAAATTTAATATAATTAATAGATGTCCTATACTATACAAAACATGCAACGCTTATTCACGTGTATATATTAAAACATAGACGTATTTGCAAACCCCTGTGTACATCAATGCCAAACGATTACTCACCCTGTTCTATCTACCTTTTGACTACTTTTGAAAGGGCGTCAATAGTACATGAAGGAGGTGTTAACTCATCCTCAATTAACTGATCAACTCTCGCTCACAGATTAATAGCGAGGTCATTATCTTCGCAATTAAATCGTTTAGCACATCCCTTTTAATATTGAGCCTTAACAGTTATACATGCAACACAAGGGCGGATCTAGGGTATCAGTAATGTGGATAATTGAAACGTGTGGTATGATTCTGTGGGGTGCTGAGTGGTTATTTTCTTCATTTATTTGGGAAGTTGTGACGGGATGAACTATTTCATTTTTCGTGTGGTGGGTGGGGTCCTCTGGAATATAACATTACAGGTAAAATACTGTGTTATTTCCACAAATCAATACCATGAATACGACTGGGAGTCTTTATCTGTATCACTTCGTACAGCTTTTATTGAGATTGATCCTTTGAACCACTTATCAGCTCGTTATCATATCTAACGAGGAGCGGTGGCCCAAATCGCTGTAGCATGATCTTAATCAAATGTGAACACTTTACACTAACTGGTATGGTAATGAAGACCTCCGTTTAGCATGGGCTGATATTAGTAAACGATGAGAGCATCGGGCGCAACATGTAGTTTCAGATAGCAGAAGCTTTGTATATTTTTAACAGATGGACAAAGCGAGAGACAAATGACACCGTGATTTTCAATCCGTGATTATGTGGTCAGAGTTCTAAGTTCCATTCGTGATCACGCCTTATTTCAAGTTGTGTGTTGTATTGGCGTTGTCCTTCCCTTCTACAGCATGCCAGACAGTCGATTGCGCAAACTTATTGGTACAGCAATAGATAACATGGTTAAATAATGTCTGCAAATGACAGTGAATGTCTATGAAGCAATAAACGTTGTTGGCAATAGAATAGATCTTATGAAAAAAGGCTTTTTCGAATTACTTCAAAATAATACACAACGACATCGAATGAATCACTATCATACACTCTCGTTATACATTACAAATTTATCCATGCAAGATGTCAAGTTAATATATGCCTTACTACTTTCCCCTCACTCATTTTCAACAGAAATTCACAAAGTCTTAGGTAGTGAATTTATACGGTTTCGATGTATGTACACTGTATCAGTACCCGCAACGTTGCTCTTTGTTCAAATGCCCGAGGTCAGTTTGAAGGATCTTGCACAGGATCACGACAGAAAAATAGGCTCCGCAGAGACCATTTCATCTGTCAATTTTAACAAGATGGACTGAGGCAGTTTGCGTGACAAAACTGATGCAGGAGAGACGATAGCCATAAGATTGATACATGTACATAAACGACAGTTAATATTCGTCGAGTTCTCTAAATAAAGGTTTTTATGATTGCCATGATGAACAGAACAGCACAGTGTAAATACAGCCGCATATTATAACATATTTCCACCTTTCCATACGCATGTGTTTTTTTAAACAATGGTGGCTTAAGAATATAGTAGACCTTTGCACATTTAACCTTCCCCAACGCCCCACCCCCCAACAAAGTAATCCAGCTGGGAGGTTTTAGGGTGGGGACGGGGTCCTCTCCATGCTTATATGTCACTGACTGAAAATCCCGATGGAAATAAAGTCGACCCGCCAAGGGGGAAAAAAAGTATGATAAAGTGAGCCTATCAGAGTATGGTCTCCATACTTTTAGAAAGCGGGTTATGCACAGGCGAATCAGGGACCTCCAACAGCGGTTCTGCATCCAAACGAGCTGCTTTGTTAGGTTCCTCGTACTCCACATCATCAGGATCCTTAGATCGATTGATCCCATTCCGATCATTGATACCAATTATATCATCAGAACGGGATCTATGGTGAAGCGTGGGGCGCTTCAGCTTGATGTTTGGCTTCAATTTTTGCAGTGGTGAGACATGTGTAGCTGCAAGGACACCCTTAATGGGAGGCAGAGAGACTTTTCTCTTGGTTGCAGCGTCTGGCAAAGTACCTCCCATGGCGACTTTCTTCGGCTTTAATTTTCCGTTCGGTTTAGAAATCATACTGACAGGCGTGGAGCTGCCCCGAGCGTGCATTGGTAAAAGCAGGGTGGTGTCCGTTGAATTTGTGAATATACTGTCACGAGATTCGTAGGAATCCGAGGATATTTTGCCTTTCTGGCGTGAGCTCTCGTCAGAACAGGACGAGATTCTGGACTCTCGCCTCCCTTTGTCTTCGTCAACTACCCAGTAGGTGTGCATCTTTCCTTTGCCCTGCAATATTTTAAGCAGTGGGTACAGCTTTCATCTCTTACTTTGCTCTTCCATATGGTGTAGATAATACATCCTTTTTACTCCAATTAATTAAATTTCAAAAGCTAAACTATGAATTTATTTCAAAGTCTAAACCGAACAACGAAATGATCAGATGCGAAGTAGGTTCAGTACATAATGACGTGGAAGTTTGGGCAACAGCATATAACGAAGACTAACAGCTACAAAAGCATTTACTTTTATTTGGTTATTAAGAGCTTTTAACAGTAGGGAAATAGATATACGGGTCAGCCAACTGTCGATAATTTTTTCAAAGGCCAGAAATAATGCATTTTCAATTTCGTGGTTTACCTTTATATCAATCTGCCCTCTCTCCTGAATGGAATATCCTCCAAGTTGATCCAAGAGTTCCTTTGTACTGGCGGAACAGTGAATACGAAGAGCTGAAAATAACATTTATTTTGTAAGTACATGTAATGCTCTCAACCTTATAGATATGTGCTTCTATGCAGCCATCCTCAACCTTCAATGTTACTACAGGCAATCATAGGGCAAATGATCATGTAATAAGTAACGGTGTTTTCAGACCAAACTGTGGCCATATTTTACACGTTAACGATGCACACCATCGGTTTAAGGGAACACAAAACTACTAGCCCGCCATAAGGCATTCTTATGGAAATATAACTACTACGCATTTTAACGAAATGCTAAAAGGGATTTTGAGAATGCGACTCAATCATATTATCGCTTTACATGTGCGTGTGTCATTTTGGAAAAGTAGGCCTACTCATGTAAACTTACGCATCCCATTGGACTCCATTCTAGATGCCGTGTTGACGGTGTCACCAAAAAGACAGTATCGCGGCATCTTCTGCCCTACCACACCTGCCACACAAGGACCTGCAAAAAGTTTCCCTTGATATAAGAAAATTCAAGCATTTAGCGTAAAAGTGCATTTGATACCTTTCTTGTACGGCATATATGCCTATCCGGGTATGCTTTTTTGGTTGTTTTCGCTTAAGTTCTGTCGGATTACAGTCTATTGCACAACAGTATAAGAATTCACCGTTGAAGGTGTCATTTTTTTTTTGTTTATTCCTACATGTAACAAGACATTCCCGGAGTCGAGCAACACTGAGGGATACCATTCTACGGTCCGTCGGACCCGATGTTTTAAAGCTCAAAGTCCGGCGAACTTTTTATCTCGAAATAACGGGTAACAGACAGTTCTAAAATGTAACGTCCCTCCTGGACACTCTATATGCCAGTAGGGAAGGTCCTAGGACCCTATGTCTTAATACCGAAGGTCCGCATCGAAGGGGAATTCTTTGAAAAAGTTCAACTTATAACATGTATTTAAAAGATAAAAATAAAATGATCAAAATTGAAATCGATTAGAGAATGATTAATTATTGATTAATTATTTACAAAAAAGTTCTCAAACGTGTGAAACGTACAATTTAAATTTTATTGTATGTATCATATAAACTTTTAATTACGTGTGTATAGATTTAAATAAACATACAACATTTTTCAAGTGAAATTAAATTAGTAATCAGAACTCCCTATCGTGCATGCATTCCTTAACAAAAAGTTACCTATGAATCAGTACAATTGGTCTCATCACATTAAAACACCTTGTTATCATCATCTTACAAATCGTTTGTCATCATCACCTCATCAATATCGCACATACTGTATATGAAATACTTGAACCAATAAATTACAGTTCTCATCCTTTTAGATGAGATGAAAGACTAACACAGATGTGCGGCATTGACGAGGTGATGACGACAATGAGGGACGATTTGTAAGATGATGATAACAAGATTTTATGATGTGGAGATCAATTGTACTAATTAATAGATGATACACTTATATTTATACTACACGTAGAGGTCAAATATAGGCTATACTTTTCTGCTCCTATTATCTTCATTTTTTTCGCTTTCCATATGTGTAGTATACAATTAAAATTGATGCGTTGTTTTAAAACTTGGTGGTAAATTAAGAAAAGAAAATGCATACATTTTATAATTTTTAATCAAGAGTGTACCAGTATGTCATTATACATGTGTAACTGTCAGGCTTGAAAATCAATTTGATTGTTGAACATTCATGTAGCTGATTGAATAATCTACACTTGAAATGTATAATCTTTATCGTGCAGCTTTTGTAACAAAATTTGTTTTTCTCATCTCTTTCCAAGACTCCCCTCCAATATTCCTTCTCCTTTCCTTATTTACCATATCCCACGCCGTTTTTTTTTTTTACCGACATTTGTATCATACATTCTTTCGCTTTAAAGCCATAACGGAAGAAATCACGACAGGTATATTATACTTACTTTGTAATAACCTGCAGCGATTCTTAGTATTTATTAGTATTTCAAATATGGATATATCGACTAGAAATACATGATTACAGTAGAGATTTCGCGATCAGCATGCAATTTTATTGCTTAGGAACGCAGAATACATTTTCTTTAGGTTGATTCCATTTAGAGAAAAGATATACACGTGTACAATTTAAACTTGTGTATATTGTTTAATAAAATTAAAATAACAAGCCTTCAATTCACCTCCATATATTAAGAATAAAGTATGTGTTCCATCGTTTTATATCAAAGACATTTTGTAGAGCTTAGCATTGATATGCACTGAATCCAGGGCTCGTTATTAAAAAAAGGACTCTCTGTCATGGGGGACCCTCTCGTACATGTCACGAGTGCATAGTTTTACTTTGTCATTTAAACATTAACCCTGATCACAAGCGGATTTTCGCACGTTTTCTAATCTCGTATGACGTCACACAGTGCAGACAGCCTTATATTAGGCTGATTATCCCCATCAAAATTGCATATTTTTAGATATCATATCTTACTAACATAACAATGACTTTAAAGGTAAATAACATTGCGTTTTATTTTTTATTTCTTTTAACTGAGTCAGAATAAGAAAACTCCCCTATACATAACTGTCTGATAAATTTAAAATACCTTACTTACTAAAATGCCTTTTCATCGCTTTAAAATTGTCTACAACAAAATTTTTAAAACTTTACTATGAGGACGGGCGTTTTACCTGAATGTATGCCTATCCTTAGCATGAGCGTATGATCTGGGCGGTGCCGTATCTGAAACTTCAAAATAGCGTCCAGCAGCGCTAGCGACAGAGATGCGATCTCCCCAGCGTGGTTTATACCGTTTGTCTTTGGAAGGCCGCTGACCACCATGTAGGCGTCCCCTATCGTTTCCACTTTGTACACGTCATAGTGGCCGATGATACCGTCAAACAAGGTGTAAAGGTCGTTCAACAGGTTAACAACCTTTCAAAAAAGAGACATCAAGCAAAGGAGAATGACGAAATCGATGACATCAATAAGCATTTCAATTACCAAGCAAATGAACATTTTTGGTCCATAATAATTTCATTTGAATATTTTGCGATGTTTGCCTTAATACAACTGTAATATAAAATATTGTTTAGTATGCCGATTTGATGTACGATTAACAAGGATGTGTTAGGTGCGACACTGGTAATTGTGTTTCTCACCTGCATAGGTGTACTCTGAGAGGACAAAGCTGTGAAGTCACATATGTCGCTAAAGTATATGGTCACCATGTCAAAGGCTTCAGCCTCCACCTGCTTGCCAAGTTTAAGTTGCTCGGCAACAGATCTGTAACATCAAATTAAAAGTAATGAATCCGCATGTTTTTGATTAGATTCATTTTTCCGACGAACACTGTGTAAACGATTCGCGGTTGTCATAAATTTATACCATTTTTGTTTATACTTATCTATATACTCTTGGCTAGCTTTTTCTTTTTGTCAAATGCGTTTGTGGACATAAATTAAATTTACATAAAATGCACTTGGCCGGTGCACTAGTTGGTGCGTCGGTTTAGCAGCAATTTGTCTCGTTCTACTTGTCAATATACATGCCTATCCGTCGATATGCAAGTTTTTGTCTTTGCCCTACTGTCTTTCTGTCAAATCGCTTGAATTTTTTCTCTGTCTGTCCTCCCGCCCGTCTTAAGCCTTACTTTGGAAGCATCTGATGAAGCAATTCTTCTGTTTTCTTTTTCTCCTCCACCAGTTGTCCGGTGCGCTCTTCAACAATGGTCTCCAAGTTAGTGGCGTACTTCTCCATAATAGCAATCATGTTGTCAAATATGTTAGATTTCCTGGGCAGAAAGTGCCAAAATAGGTATTTGAAAATAGGACGTGAGTAAATATGATTTGACGTACGTTGACCAATTTTTAGCAATTATTCTGATAAAATTTTGCATTAATTTAATAAAACTAAGTTACATGTATTTTCCAACACACTGTACAGCAATGTGAATGTTTCAAGATCAACTTGATGGGTGGATGTACATTATTGATATGCCTCTACTTTGTGTATGCACGAGATCTAATAATTTTAAAGATCAAACATATTCATTATATTTTGAGGGTTTAATATGTGCAGATTGCTCTTCATATACTGTATATACAGCTTTTGAGTTTGGTTTAGTGCAATATGAAATATGAAAATAGATTTCACTTTTAAGACTAAAATCTATAAAATTACCTAAACAGCATCGATATATTCATCAGGGTTTTTTTTCCCAAAAAATCCCCAAATGTATATTCTGGACATTATGATAAATCATATACCCCCAGCACCCTTGACACAAACCGCGGAAAAATATGTAGTTGATGGATCTACTTACATTCCACGTTGCATAGGCTTCAGATGTTGACGAATACTCTTAAAATCGGGCCTCTCATCTGGATTCTCGCTCCAACACAACTGGATGGTCTCCGTGATGTACTTTGGCGTCGTGTCCAGCTCGCTCAGTTTAGGACGGAAGGGGACGCTCCCATCTGATGTCGGTTGCATTACTCGATGAATTATGTCTGGGAATTAATGAAAATGGGACATTTTACTAAGCAAGCGTATTATTGGCACAGTGCCGAAGTCGTCTTAACAGTACCGAATAGTACAATCCCCATTTTTCTGCACATCATCTTAGAAGATAATCTCGGTGGTTTTTGTTTATGGTATTGTGCACTTATGACAAAACTGACGGCGATGCGTGATGTTCTCGTAAATGCAAACGCCATTGGTGAGCAATTCTGTATTTTAATAATTTTTATGTATTTTAATACAGAATTAACGTAACTTAATAAAAAAGCGTCAAGACTTTGTACGAGGCACATGCTGTAAAATATCCTTTCCCTCTGAAGACCTTCTGGAAATATTTTTATGATATCGTTATCATTTTTGCCATGCTTTTCAAAGACAAAGTATTCTTGATAAGAAAAGAACTGTAATACCTGTGGTACTTACATTTTGGGGGCAGTGTACAATTTCCAAACGGCCCGTTTCTGCCATGTACTTCATACATTATTATGGCAAAAGAATACACGTCTCCTTTCTGTGTTCCCCACACATTACGCGTGCGTAGAAGCTCCGGAGATCGCCATAGTAAATCTAAAAATTATTTTTTCAAAAATATTGTTATGTTGGTGGAATTTGACGAAAAAACAGGTGATATATTTTAGATTAATATTCTGTTCTTGAATAAAGGTGTCTATTGAAGCCATTATAAAAAGAACAGTTCCTTTTCTACTGAATTTGTTTGTTGCTTAGCGGTCTGTAAAACTTTGTGATATAATTTGGTGCAACTTGCTATGTTTATAAAACAATTTTCTCTTATTAAAGCATCTGTTCTATTGCATATTATATCTTTTCAGATCGCTTGCAAGCGAAAAAAAGTCTTACTCCTGTACTTTGCATGCTCTCCGAGGTCGTGTTTAGCACCGTTTTTAAACTCGTGTAAACCGAAATCCGTGATCTTCAAAACCCATCGGCTGTCAACAACGCAGTTAGACGATTTCAGGTTTCCATGGTAACGTATTTCAGAGTCGTGTAAATAAACCATGCCCTGTATTGAAATATTGTGATCGTTTATATATATTTTTTCAGAAAATGAGATATTGAAAGATACATGGTTCACACGATAGAAATACTAAACCATTCAATATCGACATAAAAGGAAATGGAATTTATGAATTATTTTTAAAAATGCATAAGATGTAAAAGGACTATAGGTATGACTATAGAGAAATTACATTAAACATTGCTTTGGTCTAGATTTGAGGATCCGAGCGTTTCCCTTAGCATACCACAATAAATATATATATATAAGATACTGAGAGGTTTGTTCCTGTCTAGCGTTAAATTAACTGCAGTAACGCTTGACTTAGCGTTTGTATCGTAACATACGAAGCGGCTGCTGTCGACAAGTGATAAACGTATCAGTAAACCATGCGCTGTTCATTTCCCATTACCTTGATTATGTCATTAACGAGTGAGGCGATGAACATATTGTCTAACTTCACGTCATCGTTCTCCAGTATATCCTGAAGCAGGGATAATATAAAAAGAAATGGTAAAAAGCTATCGTCGTCATCAGTATTATCATCAGTGTTATTTATTTTTTATATATCTGTTTTACTTTGTGTTATCTTTAAATCTAATAAACTATCATCTTTTTTTTTAATCAAGGTTTCGGGCTCAAGTTCATAGTTCCCGTCTGCACACACACCTGTAGGTAACAGAAACTAGGAATATGCCAAAATGTGTATGAATTCTGATATTTCTCTGGCGAAAATTAAGAAAAAATAATAATCTAAACCCCGATCTAAAACCCTGAAGAGATCACATCAAACATTACGTCGTTTTGCACTGCAGCCGCATGTGTTTGTGGGAGTGTGGGAGGGTTTTGTCGCGCTGGCTACAGAATATATTGATGGAGACAGACATCCTGGTTGCAACACTTGGAATACCACTGCATCTCGCGTACCATCCCATGTAATTTCTGTGTGATGTGCTGATGATCGGTGGGCGGCTAACGTGAATTGGAGTGCAATCTTTTAAATCACCCCGCTATCGTTAGGCATGCTATAGTGTTAATCGGGCTAGGGGATAGAATTGCATTATTTATCATACTGCAAAGGGAAATCGTACATGTTTCCCCCTAATTTTGAATAGAATACGCTGATGTCACCGCGGGCAGGGTGATACATGTATCAGCCCCATGGTACATGTATGCATTATTGATATAACAATCAGACAGTTTGCCTTCGGTGATTAGATCTTGTTTTCTGTATAAATTAGATCTGATGCAAACAGGCCTGAAATCACCATGCCAATACATGGTTTGACAAGCGACAAGGGAGCTGCCTCCACCACACTTCTAACATAGGTCTTCTCAATTAATCCCAGGAGGTGTATCCTTTACTAATAGGAACGCCATGATACAAAGTAATCCGTTCTCATGACAACCGTCCCAAGTGTGTCTAAAAACAGCCACGCCATTGTTCGAAAAAGCTTCTAATGAGGAAGAACTAATTGATAGTATATGCCCTACATTATCAGTAACCACGATCAATAGACGGGGATTCATCAAATGGCATCATCTTTTTTTATCAACGTGGAAGTCTTCTATATCAATTTGTGTTATGATATTTTAGCTCAGAAATTTACAGAAGATAAAATAATCCCAAATTTTCAAATACTAAACGCTATTAATTGATCTTTACACACGAAAAACGTCATTTCAACATTTTTGCTCTCTTCATTTTTGTCAGTATATGGTTTCGTTCTTTATTTCGCACTGATAACAATATATGATTTACATATTTGAAAATGGTCATATGAAAAATAAAAACAGATGTCCTAAAATGCTGATACAGATTTGAATGATGTACCTGTAAGCTGCCTTTCGGGCAGTACTCCGTGATAATGCAGATATTTGGCGGGTCTACGCATGCGCCAATGAACATCGTCATGTTGTCATGTCGAATATCACGTATCTGAAAACGGACCAGAATAATTAAAATTTTATATATAACTGGGTCAATGGTTATGTCTGTAGCTTTACTTCAACCATAACTAAAGACCACAGGAAGAATAAAAATTTCCTCACCTTAGCAGTTACAATATGTTTGAAAGAGATAAATATAGCCCAACTGGAAACCTTTTCAATTTTGCTGTCATACCGCAGGCAATCAACTCGTCAGCGTTCTTGTTATAGGCTCTTTGGATGTTAAATCATTTAGGGCTTCGGATCTTTACAATTAACAACAGTGCAATAATGCACTGTACGTTGAACAGGTTTCTTCATTGGTAAAATAAAGTTCCATAAAGAGAACTGACATTTAATATGGAACGTTTTATTTTCAAGGGTATGTCAATGATGAAATGTATTATTTAATTCTAAAACATGTATCCCATGTGAATTATGAGAACAGATAAATGTGAGTCAGTAACAATTAACTGACTGCCTTCTCTGAAGCACTGCTGCATTGCGTAATATGTGGCGATTTCTTTAGGTAGTGCTCTTTGGGCTGGCCAGAATATGACTATGGCAGAGAATGCTTCAGTCACAAAAGTATCAATATTTCGACAAAAGCTGCACAGATGATTTTGAAATTTTGCATGCAATTAGTTTATATTACGTTGCAAAGCAGTGTTAGACCATCGTTGATATGCACCAGAATGGCGCAAAACAAAGAAGCATTGCTAGACAGATAATTGTGACGCAAGGAACGTTCCGCAGTCTTACAGGGGTATGTTCAGACTGGTGTACCTACACAGAGGCCACGCCCAAGGCATCCAGAACTTACCACCGGAAAACAGGATCAATTGTTTAACGGTTTTCGTCTACATATTAACAAAGACAACCAGTTCCCTTCAGAATGAGGGGTAAATGGTCACCAAAAAAGTTTTCCAAGGCCCATTGTAACCGTCAGACTGGTTTAAGCAGGTTACTATACCAGGTGACCTCTGAGGGACCCTCTGTGAACGTCGGCCATTTCTACAATGAGTTGAGAACCATTTACGTTCCTTGGCACTGCACTAGAAACATATTGTTTTCCCATATGAGGTCATATTTTATCTGTTCTGCAATGATGGTAAAAAAAGTTCACGGACATTCAGAATAGGCCTACGTCTAAGCGTGTGTCGCTCCCAGAGCGGGGCAGAATTCACGTTGGTGCCAAAACCACATTGGTAGCCATTGGTAGAAACCTTGACCAGAACAAATACAGGAACCAAGAACCAAGGATCTGGGCAGTTGCCGCGGCCATCAAGATCGCTAGATTTGCAAACTAAAGACAGTCTTTAGGTAGCCAGTACTCGCCAAATCAACGGCCTAATGGTCCTACAACAAATCTGAACCAAATTGGACAAGGCCCGATCGATGCCTGGAATATTATTCCAGTTCAAACTCTTAGAAACCTACCAGAAAGAATGCCTTGTCGCTTCAGAGCCCTAGTACATGTAGCAGCCAGATGAGGCCAGGCGCACTACTGATCATTGCTGTGACTGGACGTGATATAAAGTCCTTTGTGAAGTGTATTTCCTTTTCACAGATGATAATTTTGAAAAATGGAGATTAAAATAATGTTTTTCATTAATGTTGTTTGACTTGAAATCAGCCACGTGTTTTTGTTTGCTCAAATAGGTGAATTCAGTTAAAGAGCTGATGTCACAATTACACTGAATAGATTATTAAAAGGTATAAATACAAGATGTAAACCCTTGTTTCATGAGTCGGAAAAGTGGGAAAAATCAAAGAAAAATGATTTGGAAAAAATATTCCATATTAAATGTCTAGTCTGTAGTTCCTTTTCATCAGTAGTTTAAAGAAATTACTAAAACGTGCACTGCAGGTTTGATTCTTTTACATTTCAATTGTAGATGTACCGCATAGAGAACTCACGTCTTTTAGCTCCTTGCGAGTATTTCTTGTGAGATCGATATGTTTTTTGCGAACTTTCTTAATGGCTACAATGTTTCCCTTGTACGTCCCTATCTTGGTAAAGACTTGTCGTATATCAGTGTCACCGTCAAATCCAGGGTAAATGCCTATTGACAGGTTGCTGGCTCGCATACTCACACTCATCTGGAGAAAACAGAAAAGAAAAAAGAATTTAATCGATCATTCTGGACCTCAGTTAAAAGCCACCAGGGAACTCAACCTGTTGGGTAGCTGTATTTTCTGAAACTCGAGATTGATAGCCGATAGACTACTAGTATGTAGAGCACTGTCACGTTTTTACTTTTAATAAGCGGGCATATGCGTTACCAAACAACCATTAATCAGGGTCGTGTTAAGAACCTACATGTACGTGAAACAGCACGAAAAATATCCCTACCTAGAATGAACGGTATAATATTGTTGATATTGGTTAAATCCTATCGGTCTGAAAAACTACACGTTGTTTGTTTCTTTCATGTAACTACTCCGTTGCTTTTCTATATCGAATCGGTTAATTTTATTCTGGCATGTATAAAACGGCTTTACATGAAAAAAAAAAAAAAAACAATGTTCGCATTGCCTTATTCATCGTGCTCCCCATCCAGGCGCCGGAGCCCGTGTGTAAGGATGCAGCCCCGTCCTTTAACATAATATCCTTAAAGTCAATCTTCCAGAGAAGGCTTGCCAACTCTTGCTCGTAGCGCCAGTTTCTGTAATATTTGTAATATATCAACTGATATTCGTAGAATATGAACTGATACTATGTGCATAATTATATCATCAAATTGGTCTTTATGCTTAACTTGATAATTATATACAAATAACTAACGTTTATTTGTATATCATTATCAAGTTATAGACTAAAAACATAAAACTTGCCAAACTAGCGTCATGTCTCTTATTTTTTCATCAGCTGTATTATTTGACAACGTAAAACTTGTCAGGAGCCTTTATTGAAGGAGAAAATGCATCAGGGGCCTGGTTCACAAAATTATTATTTTCTGGACTTTACTCAGATTGTTAAAAGTCGTATATTCTATATAAGTGCAGTTGAAGTACCTAAATGAGTTATTGTCACTACTAAGATTAAAAAATCATTGTCAAAAAGATCACAATATTCTATAAAGGTTTAGCTTTATAGATAAATACCCACTAAAATAAATACCCACTGCCTGCACATTCAAAACAAGCCAAGCGAACTTATCAGGATTTTGTCGCTAATGTTAAAATATACCACCCCACCCAAACGTTTTTGATGAAACGCAACATGGTCATCTTAAATCCTTTAACGTTTGTACTAGTACTACATGTAGGAACGATTTTCGATTTAGATCGTATGGTGAAACAGGCCACAGTTAGTCGAAAGCGACATTGATTTTATTGGTCATAATGATTTGGTTACACGTAATCATCGTTTATCATATTTACAGTATTAATGACTCTTTATTAGTTCATTTTTGCCTGCCTTTGTGACTTAAACGTCAATAGAACGAGCGTTTCTTTGAAGCTTGGAGTCATTTCATCATTTAATAAACATAGACATCTTACCTATACACAACCGTGCTGATTATAATGATAAGTAGAAGCAGTCCGCCTGCAATCCCGCAAACGATTTCCCATGTATATGCTGTAATGAAAATATGCAGTCAAGTAACTGTAGCATTTTGTTTTCGTTGACAATAGCGTCTCCCGTAAAGCAGTTTCGTCCACGGGAAAACGATGTCACTGGCAGACTTAAGTACTGATCATAATGTACATATTACGGCATTTAATTCCGTGGAGAGTTAAGGTTCAGGGGTGTTATTATGCGGGGTGAGGGTAGGGGGGTGTCGGTAGGGAACGCAAAGGAGTGTAACCGAAACTTACATGGCGGAGGGATGCACTTCTCTCCTCTGAAACCGCATTTTGGTTCGTCAACTGGGGGCTTTCCTGACACCCAGAGAATACTGTCATTTGAGAACAGTTCCATTGTCTAAAAATAAGTGCACTGATAAGAATTCCACAATGGTGTAAGCTATGTGATTGTAGTTAGGATTCCTGTTTTCACTAAATTAAGTTCACATAAAGTAGAATTTAATTTTGCACCTTGTACAAGTCAATGCATCCAATACAATGGCATCTATCCATGTTTTCTTCAATCCATAGCAATTTTTTTCAATCAGGTGAAAAAGAATTATCAACAAGTGCATGGCAATACACATTATTTAATTCTTACCGGAATGAGAGATGAATTTTGGTTCATTATAAAGTTCCCAGCTGGCCACATTTCCCATTGGACTTCCTGGCTGGCGTTCGAGATCGTGGTTGGGGCTTGAGGTCTTTGTCTCATAACAAGGACCGAATAGTTACCCTCACATTCCCCGTTCTCATTAATCCGGTTCATGTACCCCATAGCACCTACAGAAGAGAAATATAGGGCACATGAAGAAGAGAGAAAACAGAATCCTGATATAACAGAAATGCTTCTCAAAAGAAGAATACGAAACAAATAATAGGCACTTTTGAAAAAAAAAAAAAAAAAAAAGAACATTAGTCGTTACTGTTAAATGTTTTTTTTTCTAAATACAGTTATATGTTCATTTTGATCAATGTCTATCCTATTCAGCTACATAAGTTTGACAATCCATTAACTAATTTTTCACTGTTGAGATACAAGAGATAGCGAGATATTGCACTGACAGACAGGTGCACAAGAGAAATAAAAATGACCAGTTCCGAAGAAAAATGAACGAAAAGAAACACGCTATGGAATATAGTCAATGGAGACTGCTGTCGGATATAAAGCACCGAAAGTAAATCGCGTGTCACGTTTCTCAAATCTCTTTTTTTATATTTACTCGGAATGGTATTTGACATGAAGGCACGAGTGTAAGGGTACGAAAAACATCAGTAGACGTTGCCAAAATGAAAGATAATTAACAAAGCCGGAAACAAGCCTTACTTGTAGTTCTAGGAATGTAATTCGCCCGTGAAAGGCATCCATCACTTTGAAGTATGGGCAATGAGAACGAAATCTCTTTAATGATTATCTTATACAGTAGGCGTTCCATTTAACCAAACACGGATTCGAAACACTAAGGACAAAACCAAAAGTAAAGTCCACGAATACATCGATTTTTCATCTGCGTTCCAGGAATAGAGAAAAACGAGCAAAGGCGATTCATATAGAATATGCACTGTGTTTCACCAGAGATGTGTCTCAAATGTAAACCAACAGAAAGAGAAAATTAATTGACTTACGGTTCAGATAATTACTTTATTAAAATGCTCTTGCATCTTATGCAGGCGGTTATGGGTATAACCCAAACACACACATATACGCACAGATATATTATTTTTTTTTTCTTAAGCAATAAGTATGCGAGTTGTTTGTCTCCATACTTTTATAGGTTGCTCCCTTTATATACTCAAAGATGACTCCTCCATCCGAGATATCCTGGCCTTTTAATAAGGCCTGGTGGGCCGCTCGTGCGTACAGACCCACAGCATCATATAAATAGGCTGCCTCGGACGGAATCTGGAAAAAATTGGTAATAAGCCGCGACCAGCTTGTGCATATATATATATATATATATATATATATATCCACTCATGTGCTTATATCCACTCATGCCACAATTTACCACCAAATACTACCGTGTTCATTTTTAAATAAAATATATTTTTCTCAATATAGTTCAGCACGTCTGTAAAAAATGTAAACTCACGATCAGTGTCACTCCTCTGTTCTTGAAAATATTGACGAAGTTGAAAGGAGGTTTTTCCGCGTACTCGTTCACTAATGTGGTGAAGTTGTTATAGTCTGGATACACTGGTGGGGACTGGATAACTCCAAGAAAAGATCGGAATGCCTTCCTCGTTTGTTCGTCAACCGGTTTGTTTTTGTCATTGTAGATATCTGGAACAGAGGAAGACACGGATTGATTGTGATGTCTCAAGATCAGTAAGAAAAATTGGAACGTTCTGAAATGATTTTATCTTGAATCTTGCTAGTACATTCTTTGGATTTTCTCTTGTGAAATGTAATTTGTAATACTTTCAGCAATTTAGAACTCAGTGAACGTACACCATCAGAATTGTAGGGTGTTCCCATTTACCTTTGAGAAACTTTTGCGAATCATTAATCTGGAAATCGTCAATATAAACACCAACAACGAAATACTCTCCGGAATCTAGAATCCCTTGTTCTTGTAAAAGATTCATGAAAATGTGGTATTCAAAGGGGTCGCCCAGGATCACAAAGACTGAAATGTAATGAGTTAATAAGAAGACAATTAATTAATATTTCAACCAAAATATGTGAGATATCAATAAATAATCACGTTATTTCAGCTTCTATATGTATAGTTTTGACTACGCTTCAAACCGGGACTACTACCCCCTCCCCCTCCATCAGTGGAGACACCATTGGGTCGAATGAAAAGATGGTTGTAATATTTTATAAAGAGAATTAGTAGTGCGGCCAAAAACTCATTTTTTGAGGACCAGCCGAACTCTTGAATTTTTTTCAACAACCACACTGATCAGGCTCAAGCGCTGTCTTCTGCATGTGTGAATACACGGTTCGCAGTAAGTGTACTACATGAATGCGGTACATTTACATGTACAATGTAGCATAGCGCGGATATCTCATCAAGACCTTTCATAAAAAGTGACAGGTGTATTTTAAGTATTATCAAAAAGAATTTACCGGCATCCTGCTCAGGCCTTACGTATTTAATGAGCCCAGTATTTCAAAATTACGATAAAAAGTTCTTAAAGGACGTTGACGTACGTTAACCTTTCACTTTTGAATTAAAAAAAAGATATTAACTATACGACTTATTTTGGACTCGTTAATACTGCATCTGGTTAAGACATCATATGATATAATTTTTTCTATCACCACGAGAGAAAAAGAAAAAAAAACGTTAGATGCCCTACAGTCACTCGCTAGTTACCGTAATTACATGTAGTTTATTGTAAAGCACTGGAATGCACTCTGAGAGCCAATTTTAAAACATAACCGAAAAACTCTTCCTCATCGGAACAAATGAACAGTAAAATTGTGCATGGCGTTAGTTGTCTATGATATAACACATGTTCACAAAAACATATGACTAGTTGCGTACATTTACTAAAGTTCAAAATGCTATTTACGTGCGCCTAGAGCGGAAATATCGTTTTTATTGAATTATAAACAAATACTGGTTGTAAACAACATACTTCTGGTGTCCTGATATGTTTCGTAGATCACCGTTTTTAGTGGATTCGACCTCCCCGGGTCAACTCTCATCACTGGGCCGTGATATTCCTTGATCATGGTGATGTTTATATCATTCTTCTTCAAAACCTTAGAAATAGAGGTACATGTATCCCAATAATGATTTGAAAAGAGGGATGCTTTGATTTCACCAAAGTTTCATTTATTGAACCTTAAGGGTGTAAAAAGGGGTAGCAAGTTACATGCATAGAAACCTGGGTTTATCATTAGCAGCCAATATTGGTAAAGTAAATCTTATATATGCATGGGGATACGAAAAAATCTAAAAATGTATGCAATGTATTGCAATGCCTGTAATGCAAAATATAAGAAAATGTCAGAAAAAATGTAAAAAAAAAAAAAACAATAGGGATTGAGACTTTTTGTCAAATTTCGTTTTTTCTTTCTATCTTTCTTTTTTTTATTTCCCATTTTGGTTTTCTGTCAAACTTAATAAACAAAGACCGGTTTATTTTCAAAACAGCTTTTTCTACTATGAATCAAGACTTGAATGTTTATTTCGGTCTTCTTTAATGTCAGATAATTGCTTGTTTACCACAGATTGTATCTTTCAATTTGAATTGGGCATATTTATTTCAATCTTCCTTCGCACCTAATAAAGTATGGATTTAGATAAACTCTCATTCACCAGTTGACGTTTTTGCCCATCTGAAAAAGCTATTTTGATTCTAGTTTTCTAAATACTGGCAAGTGAATGATAATTCCCGTTAAATGTTTATCCTCATTTCACTGCCGGATGCAAGATTTTGCGAAGGGGTGGGGGTGAGATGAAGGCACGTAGATATAATCTTCTGGGTAAAACCATTTGCGTACAGCCCTCTGTTATAAAAACATAAACACAAAATGGGAATAAAGAGGATGTAAGAAGATACACCTACCAAAAATAACCAACCCACCTGAACGATTGTTTTAGCAATATGTGCAAACGCAGCTTGGTCTCTGTGGATAAACGCTACTTTCTTCCAGTTAAAGTATTTGAGCACAGACGTCACAGAGCTCGAGATCACCCAATCCTGTGGCTTCGTTCTTACAAATGTTGGATAGAGCGCTTTGTCTGCGACTTCTTTTTGTGTGCAGAACTGAAAGAATAAGACCAATATTTAAAAACACTATTTTCTAACAATTTGTTGGAAAACATTTACCTTCAGTTTGGTTCGCTCACTATGCGGAAAATATGAGATTGTCTGTTCTATATCACGAAGAAGCGTTTATGCGCTATTTAAAACTCCTTGTCTTCTAGATCTGCTATATAGTAAGAAGTAAACAGTAAAGTAAGCAGTAATATATATATATAGTAAACAGTAATAAGGGGTTGTTCAGAGCCAAGTTGATCCACGGACTAACTGATTTGCGGACTATTATGATCAAATAAGGCTCGCATTTGACAATGGATTCCCCGCTTCCAACGCCCGCCCTTCCTGCATGGGCAGAGCAATTATATCTTGGCATGCTTTCAAGTGGGTCTCGTCATATTTGATCTTAACGGCTTAGTTAGTCCGCGGATCAACTTGTTTCTGAACAGACCCTAAGTTTACCATCGTACGATAGCAAAAAAGATAATAGGCTAGGAATGTGTAACATCAGATTCTTATGAATCTTCATTTTCACTCACTAGTAGGACTAGTAATAAGACTAAAATGGTTTACGTATTTCTTTTATTCAATTGTACATTGCTCTGATGATTTAAACTAAGTCATATCATATTACAAAGATATATTAATGGACCTAACGTTCACATGCGAACAATGACGGACCAAACTGATAAACCAGCTGATAATAGGGGACAACATGGATTAAATTAAAATATGACAGCATTGAAACCAACGGACGGTTACTGAATGAAATGCTCAATGAATGATATTCTTTGTTCAGCGGTGGAAGGGTTGGCATGACATTAAGCCAGCAGTTGTAATCAAACATCGTGTTAAAGCCAGAACTGAAACGGTTTTTGTTAAACCGTTGTAAACACAGTTGTGGATATAGTAAATTCAGAATTGTATTTCATGACATCGATAATCTCAGATCGTCAAAGGCAATATGTTTTTCAGTTTCTCCAAAATGAACCATAAGAAACGTACACTCTGCTGGCTAGATGTTATGTCACACATGAATTCCAAAGAGTTAAAGTGTGAAAGCCGGCACGCACAAAATAATGAAACATAATGTGAAATGCGTTTTAAGCAATTTCAGAAAATTAATTTCGGTCTCTGTGAAATTCGTTACATTCTGATAGCCTGGGAGCTTGATACGTTTCCTCTTTAAGTTATACGATTGCAGACGCCGTGCCTGATAAACGCATACCTCAATAAATCATTTAGGATAAACTTATTAACTTAAATTTGCGATAATAATATCATTCTGGGGTTGAATACAGGGTCACATTTCCACTTTATTCAATCGATTGATGAATTCAATCTCTGGATGTTTTCTACTGCCATTACTTGTATCAATCTTTTTTTTTACTTTTATCTTTTTACCTGGGGAAATTCATAGAAATTTAAAAGGCTTCTCCCTAACGGTTCAGTAAATTAAATATCACAATCAGTTAATAGTGATCTCTATGCAGAGGTCAACAAGGCGGGAGTTCCTTCTACCTGCTGGCTACTAGAATCATCAAGAATGTATATATTACCATTATTTGTATAATGCATATGTTCTAATAAGTGTTTAACAGTGCGACAGGTTTAAAGTATTCAAATTTGCCGCATAGTGTTATGTACAAAAATAATGAAGTGTTGGACTAAGAGCACATGCTTTATTGTGAAACGGAAGCTGAAAAGACCGTTGAATTTAGTTAATTTCCACATAAAATCTTGAAATATGCATTTTAACCGACGCCTTTCATACATGTACGTAATTCGCAGATATTAAGTTTCCGCGTAAAGCCCTACACCTACTTGGAAATGATTCCAATAAAATAACTTTGTTTTTGTTTCATCTGTTTACCTATACAGTGTATACCAATAATAAACATATTGCTCTTGAGTCCAAGAGACTAAACAACATTCATGCATAAGCTACTGGTTCCGTGCAATCTTGCTAAAATGATGGAATATTTTAGAATTTATTTTAAAAAATGTGATTTCAACAAGGACAAAGTAAGATTAAAAGAACCATTCAACCACACATTAATGATTTAATATTATTCCATTTCTTCGTCCATGTTGCAGTATATTTGTTAAATTTTTCCGTTTGGATTCATAACTGTTGATCAATTGACATTTAGTATATGATCGCCAAGAAAACCAACTGTCGTTTCCATGGAAGTGTAGGTTGATACAAAATTTTAAGAAGAATCCCAGCACAGATTTATGATCCAGTTTAGGTTCCGCGAAACTAGATGAATGTTTTTACTTTTCTGGGAACTGACTGACTGACTGACCAGTTTAATGGCCCTTTCTGGGCAAGACCAAGCCATTGTGGTCACCTAGACCCTCTCCTTACAACCCCACAACCCGGTCTAGTGTATCCCAACAGTGTTCATGGGGATTCATATAAGGTGAATATACGGGTCAGTCAAGATGTTCAACTCCCTGCTTATTGAAAAAAATGTTGCCTTGTGGGCACACGATGAGTTGGAACATTGTCATGTAATCTGTTGAACAAGTTATGTCCAAAAGGGGATGTGCAATATAATACCATTTCTGTCATCAGAATCTACGTGTAGCTGCAAACATCCATTTTCACCTTTTACTGCAATATCATGTTAGTTCCATAAAAATAAAGACTAAGCCACAAGTCTGCAGCAAACGCTACATGAACCTGACATTATACACAGAATCTGGCATCAACACGCTGAAAGGAAATCTCAATCCATCAGAAAACCAGACATGTCCCCAATGAAAGAGTTGGTGGCAATGGACTTGACAGGCCTTCTTAAGCGACAATTCTACTTTTGTTTGGTCAAAGCTGATTTCCTAGGAGTTCCACTTGACCTGAGATCGCCATTCTGAAGCATGTTGCTTACTCTTCCCCTGGAAGAGGAACGACCAGTACTGATGCCTGGTCGAACGTGTTGATTTGTGCAATGCCGTCTTATAGACATTACTTGGGCCACTGTACCCTCTACCAGGGCCACAGATTGATTTCTTACTGGATATTCAGAGAAATGTCTTTGATTTAATTCACGGTTATTCTCTAATAACTGCGGCCCTAGTAGAGGATAGGGTCACCACAAGACAAACTTCCTGCGCGCACCCAACATGCCACATCCACATTTAGAAAAACAAGACGAGGCATTATCACACTTCAGATCTACTGGGCAAAATTTCAGTTGCAATAGGGGCCAACCTACCCTGTTATTATAAAGAGGCGACCCTGTAACTTTTGGCTATATGGAAGCAATTAAATCTGTACGCGTGCAGATGGCATTGCACCCGCTCTAGAGGAGCTCAGTGGGAGCTGGGGTTCGCGCCGATGTGATTAACGCTCGTTACGCAGCTTGTCTTGTCTTGCCTGTCTGCTGGAACTGCTGAAGGAATACCCTGAAGTAACAAGCTACTCATAAGGGGATATTTTTGTTATCAGAGAAGAGCAATTAACTGTCATGATTGCTGTCAGGGATACTTGTTAAGTGGCAGTGCCTGAATAGTTATGCAAACAATTACCAGCTATGTAATCATCCTTGAGATTTTATTACAGGGCCACAGGGAATAACCGTGAATTTATCCAAAGACATATCTGTGAATACCTGGTGAAAAGCAATCATGGTAGAGGGCAGGGCCAACCGAGGTACAAAATTTTGGGCCAGTGTGCAGCAGATGACGTTAAACGAGAATTGGATTATAGCGAGACCACTTGCAAACGCCAGGGCCTGGGGGATAGATGTACACGCGGCCAGTCATTCTGATCAGATTTGTTGCACAGGATACTCAACTCTGACCAGCACAGGAACAAAACAACCTGAGCCTCGTTATAAGAACTAGCTTTGACTGCTTTGAATCTGTAATTTCTAAAAAAATATCTATTAAAAGTTATTTATAGGCCAAGCAACATGGTTTTCAAAACAGTATGCTTTATATTTAAAATAACTGAAAAATTTTATAATAATATATATAATAATCTTAAGAATTTTGCACTCTGCAAACTTCATCTTTTAAAAAGCTAATTTTCACTCGTCCTCATGATTTTTACATATTGCCTCGCTATGGAGAGCTACTTCTATTGTAGCCCAAGCAACATTTGAAAGTTGGTTTTGAAAGTTGCACCATCTCCCCTTCTTTGTACCAGTGGTAGAATTCCAAGTCCTTAATTATCCCAAGCGTAAAGTCTTTCTGTGCAAGGCTGTATTTTATTTTTTTCTTCTTCTAAACGAAGTAAGTTCATTATCTATTTGTCTTATTTGTCTCTCCTAGTTTACAGACACGCTTTAGGTATTCTGATATCTCTAAACCTGAAAGCTGAACATATTTTTCTGCAACCATTTGCAGGAGTTTGAGGGCCCGATCCTCTGTCGGGTCACAAGAAAGACCGGCCCATTATTGATACACAAAGGCTACTTGCAAAAGCGAAGATTACGGAAGCGTGTAAGGGTCACAACACCACACACACGCCACAGCACCACACACAAAACCCACAATACCAACCGAGCTCACAACACCACACACTGAACGCACAACACCAAACGAGCTCACAAGACCACACAAAACTCACAACACCAAACACTGTACTCACAACACCACACGCAAAACTCACAACATTTGGAGCAAACCTGAGAAACATATGTATTATGTTTGCACCAAGTGTCCGTCCCAACTTGACCGACTTCAGTGGTCATTAAAGAATAAGGTTGCAAATTAAAGAGCAGTGGCAATTCCAGCCCTTCTAGAGAAAACAGTATATTTTTAATTTTATTCAGATCGTCTAAGGTTTTTTTACAGAAGCAGGATAGACAACCATGCCAAGCAGCCAAATAACATCCAGAAGTCACACGTACTGAATGTTAAATCGTTTAAGTCATGTTTATAGTTCACAACTTCTGTAGTTGAGATTATTGCTTGAATATCACATAACCGGCGTTTTTCGCAAGAACTTTGAGAAAAACATGGTTTCAAAATAATTGGCGATCCTCAAATGTAGC